AGCAATCAAAATACTTCCGAAAATCAAAACAAATAAAAAAGAAACGTTATTATAGAAACAGACAAAATGCCAGACTTTTATTTCTTATAGAAGGTAATCAAGCTATCTCTGCGGACGGAATTTTTTGATTGAAAAATAGTTCTTCAATCAATTTATTGTATTCAGTTCAAAATGATCACAACAAAAGAAGAGAGAAAGAGATTGTGATATCAATGTATATTAGCAAAAAGAAAGAAGAACATCTGAGAAGAATTTACATGGTAGACAAAAAGAGAGAAAGGATATGTATGACATGGTAGATTGGACAACTGATTACGGTACATGCCATAACAGGCTCGTGGAAAGCAAACATTTTCTTTACTGGAAAGTAGATGATACAACGTATGTATCACCGTCCCGAAAAGGTTAAAGAGCGGTTTTATAGTTTGTTGATAGACCTAAAAACTTAATGGTGTCATCTATCATACAAAAAAAGTGAGCCAAAAAAGTTCATTCCAAAGTGAACTTATACGAAAAAAAACTTTTGGATAGGTACTTTCAAGACGCCCCGTAAATGCCTCATGACGATTCTTGAAAAACAAGTACTACGTGAAAACGTCTAATAATTCTCAGAAGAAGACTGCTCTCTCGGGCTGTCTTGTTTTCTCTCTCAACAACTGAAACCTATCTAATCTCATGTATTCTATCTGTTTTTTTTTTTCATTTTAAATATTCTATTTTACTGAAAACTCTTAATATTACCATCTTATTTCTTATAAACTAGACTGATGAATCCTCCAATGTTATTTACAACAGAAGATCGGATAACGGCGCAGTAATGAATATGCTTTAGATACAAGATTTGCTGTCTATTCTTTTTATAATGAGAAATTCAAATTTTATATTAGAAACCATTGACCTATTAAATTGTCAAAAGAATATAATCTTAAATATGATGATTAAAGCAGAAATTGGTGAAAGAACATTGTGAACTACCAATTATCTAATAAGTTTCTAATACTGAAAATACTGTAATTCGAATGACAATTATTTCTAAATGTTTTATTCAATTGACCGTACAAAATTTATTTTTATCGGAATCAGTTTATCTTATCAAAATTAAAAAAGAGGAATTGATCGAAAACAACAACAACTATATTCTATGGAAAGTGAAACCTATAGCAAGCAACGAATCTATTCTAGACATGATAGCGTCATCTTTGCAGGGGCTCTTGTTTCTTCTTTTCCCTTGAGTGATTAGGTATTTCTGTAGTTTATTCATCTTTCGAAGACTTAAAGATTATCTTTTTAATTAGTTGAAACTCTAATCTTCTGAAACAACTTCTCCTGTATACAGTGTTTTATAAGTCTGGAGACATGATAATATTAGTTTGTATACCAACAAGAAATAATCTCTAACCAAATGCGTTTTTATGAACCTTGAGTATTCGTGTCAGTCTTTGAAAGAACATATTATTTGATAATATCTTCTTTTGTAATAATAAAAATATAAACATAAGAATTTGACAAGAAATTTTTCACCATCAGTCAACTAGATATTTAAAAACAAACGAAAAAACACATAATATATTAATCGAATTGCAGGAAAATTTCACGTAATTATTATGCATTTGTTGTTCACCACTTTTTAGCAATTCTCCAAGTATCTTACTCGATTTTTAAATAATCCGTCAATAGTTCAGTATGCAACTATTGTTTGTTGTATTTCATTTTGCACGCGACGTTTTCATATATGTAAGCCATGTCAACCCAGCTACTGAGTACATAGCTCGACTGAACATATAACCAATGAATCGTGATAAGCGTAGAATAAGAGAATACAACGAATAATTATTGCTTTCTACTACACTATGTTTTATGTGGAAATGTTTAGCACTTTATTACAAAACATTAAAAAAAAAATAACGTTAGTCGATGGCGAAAAATTTCGTATCACATCTTTATATTTATATTCTTATTATTACGCAAGGTTATTTTCTGTCTGTATATAAATTAATTTTGTCACAACTCAAAACTTATGAAGCACTTAGTAAGTGTATTCTTAGTGAACTATCTTCATCAGAGATCTTGACATAAGAATTACTATTAGGAAACTGTTGCTCTCATGCGTCTTATTCGCGAACCGCTGGTTGACCATGCACATGCATAAAAAGTGACCATGTGCTAAGCTTATTTGTTGCTAAGGACAGTACCTATTCTTTCATCTCTTTTTCTTAATTGCTTTGCTAGCATCTGCTAGCACGGTAGTTGACAAAGAGAGATGAAAGAATAGAAGCTGCTCTAACAAAAAATACGCTACTCTGGGAGCTACTTTTTATGCATGTGCATGGGTAATAAGTAACTGGTGAATAAGGTTTGTTTTTGACGATTGATTCTGACACTTATGCCTTTGTTTGTCTTACATGTAGTGATCATCGTAACTTGATCGATATCAGAACTTTTTAAAAACGTTCATCACTACTAACGATACACTAAGTGTTTTATTCTTTCTCGCATTTTGAATGATTTTCTTTAGAAAAAACATTTATCTAAGTTGTGTATGTTTTTTTTATACAAACAATTAGGATATGCATGACTTACACTATAAACCATAATTTGATTCTAAGTATAAACTAAAAGTTAAGTCGATAACTAACCTAGGCAACTTATTTGTAATCGACAAAGAAAAAATGACCAACTAATCGAAAGAGAAATAGAGTAGCTTTCTTTTTTCTTGTTTTCATGGGATCAGAGTTGGTGTAGGTGTGACTAGTTGAATCATGGACCCGCACTCTATCCCTCACGTCTGTATTTACAAGCATATTCACACATCACTTTTCGACGGCAATCGTCAACTAAATCTATGCCGGTTTTAGTAATCGAAATGGTGTAAGTTATGTCATTTGATGGAAATCTCTATGTTGGTATTCGATCGATTACTCACTAAGGATTATATTGTCTACAAATTTGTCGGAATACCTGTTAGAAATGTGCGAACAATCAATTATTGAACTGAAATTATTCGATAACAAATACCATCCTCATAGGTTCTTTGTAGTTTAATGATTCTTATTGAAAATCGATTATTTTTTTAGGTATATTAAATCATACAATACAGTCGGTCTCATATTGCCATGGTTATCCTTTTTTTTATTAATCAATCATCATTATACATAATTCATTTATTGGCTTAATCCAAGTCTGTTCAATATATTCAATGATGAAACAATGATATACATCAATTCTGTAACTCTACAAAAACCTTGATTTCAGTTTGATTTTTGTTGCTAAAAACTGTATTATATGTTATTAAGCTTGTGGCAACATTGAGCAAAATTTATTTCAAGATTTATTACCACTGATCGAATCTTGCTTTTCTCGATATTCGTACATATGTATTTCAAATAAGAACACGACTAATTATTTTTTTAGGATATATCTGACTCATTGGGATTTTGGTTTCAGGCTGACTCACCTAAATGCTGAACGTATTAGACCAAAGTTCTTGCCACCAACGTGAAACTTTTAGTGCTAATAACACTCAAACAGCTGACACTAACTTTGTCAGTTATTTTATTAATTTCTTATATCAAACTTTAATTACAAATGATGGTTATATTGACCTTGAATAAGTATAGATATAAAGTGTACATCAAGAAAATGCCATACAACAATATGATAGGATAATATGCACTTGTTTATTTGAACTAATTATTTACAAAGAAGTTAAAGTTACAAAACAGTATTTTGAATCGATAGAGTTGTCAAAAAAAAACATCCAAATACTGAAAAACCTCAATAATTCAAAATAGTAGTGAGCATTCGGATATGGAGTTTGACCTAAGACAAGTATAAGTATGATCTTTAAGAACGTACTAGGCTACAATCTAAAAGTACTTTTTAAGATTGATTTCATATGTTTCTTTAAAAATAAATGATGCCTAATTTGCTTGATATTCCATTTTATTATCTATTTGTGTGTTAATAAGAAGCTCGATAACACAAAAAAAGATTTTAAAAGTAAATTCCATCGATGGTGAAAAGACGAAAGCGATACTTGTGAAATTTTACTGCCATTCGATATGTAATTTGGATGAAACAATGGCATCGAATATACTCAACATTAGATAAAACTCTGCAAACACAGAACATCGACATCCTTCTGCCGTTTGAAACTCTACTCTGCGTAGTGAAATTCAACGAATGAACAAACAACGCATTAAATTTCCAATCAATGGTGATATCGATATCGACACTGCTCTTGTACGTCTGCGTAACCCAGCTCATTAAATAATATCATAAACATTAGCTATTCATATGGATCTTGATACGACTAGAATCGTTTATTACAAATGAAAAGGATTCCGTGAAAGATGATCCTCAAACAGATGCTTTCGGGACACTTGCTTTCACAGCATGGCAGAGTGTGTGAATGGGTGAAGAAATGACGAACATTCGTATCCACAGCCTTCCTCACACCCACACTTTCAATAAAACAGTGTAAGTAAGGGTGGGTATTAATGTCCATCACTTCTTCATCTACGCGCACATTCCCATTCCCATTCACACCCCCATTCAGTAGTGTTTCTTATGAAACATTATAAGATTGAATAAAGAAATCTTGAAAAGAAAGATTATCCGAGAACTGAGAGGCTCGGTCTTTGTGAACTGTGCTTTTGAAAATGATGATTTTTTTTTCAACTGATTCACTTCATTTCAGAATCGTGATTCATTTTTCCATATTTCTTTTCGATACCCATCACCATTATTACTTCGTATCTCTATTTATTAATATCTTCTGAATCACAAAAACATGAGCATTAAACGTATATCAAAATGGTAAGTGAGTTCATTTGTTCAAGCATAAATAATGTAACATGATGCATTGAACTTTTGATTGTTATATTTTCAAATAAGCACACTGACACTTATTTCTGTCGACTAGAATTGACATAGTTTCGATTCGTTTTAGTGTTAATTGTCAATATATGTCTTAGTAATTAAATCATGCATCCCAGTACTTAAGAACTACTGTGATTCATATTTTGATCAAGCAGTAATATGCCTGGTCCAAATTGAAACGTATATCGAGCATTTGTTTTAACCATTATACCCAATTTATAATACCATCGAATAGCACGAGCAAATTTGTCATAAGTCATTGTATGATTTGACTGTCGAGATTTAACTTTTTCCCATAGAGCAGCAACCTCATTTGGTTTATGAATCGTGAACATTCCAATAGATAGATTCGTGTATGATGCATAAGAAGCATAATGTGTTTTGTCGAGAAGAAGACGAAGAAATTCAAGGAGCCGAGGCGATCTGTGACGACCCAAAGTTGAATCAAAAACAAGCCATTCATCATGTTCAAATGGGATATCAGTTTCACATGCTGACGATTGTTCATCAAGAGAATTTGTTGTGCATGAGTCTGGCGTCCAATCAGGCTCGTCATTATCGACAGATTCACAAGATTCATCATCAACATAATCGTTCTCATTCATATCGACTAGACCCATCTTAAGATAGTATTTAATTTCATCGATTTTGGACGAATCCATACCCATTTTGTCCATGATAGTCCGATAAACAAAAACAAAAGAGTAATCAATAGTGTTAAAAACGAAATGTAATTCAAGAGATATAAGACAGTAGGAAACAAATGAATATTATCGTGACAGTAACAGAAAAAAACAATAAAACTATTGTAATGTAATGTAAATGTTCTTCTATGTATACATATATATACAGTATAGCTTCCGTTGTATGAAACTTCAGTAAAATTAGTAATTATCAGCAGATGCAGCTTAATAAACTCGAACGCAAAAAATAATCATCTTGGAACTTACCTTTTTTCCGTTTCTCTTAACTTATGCATGCACGATGCAACTTCAATTCTAAAAAACTTCGTCGTTCTGCGAAGAAAGTCACCAATCTGCGCATTTGCACAAATATTTTGTGTTCTTTTCCAACATGATGAGTTGGTTTTTTCCAAGATTCATAAATTCAACCTACTCATAGATTTTTGATAAGAAAAAAAATGCTAAGATACAAACATGTGCATTGTTTCACTTGTAATAATATGAAAGAAAATTTGTACTCAAGTGAATAATGTACTTAGTGACTCATTTCAATTGATACTGACGTGTAGAATTCTGCATAAAAGCATACACTTCCAGTGAATACATACTCGTGACAAGTATCATTGAATATGAATTCGTGAAGAACGTCGAATATACAATAGAAGACTTCTAATGACACCATTAAAATGAATGCAGAAGCATTCATGCAGCCTTATTTTTTTATAGCATTCTGAGCCATTCCAAACAACTGAAGTTTCGATTGATTGAATCCACACGTCGGCTACATGCTATGTTACACAGAGAGTTGAATGGTCAGCAGCAGATCAGTATACCAGTGACACCACAAAAACCAAGTATGAAATATAAGAGTGTGGGTGTGGACTAGTGTAGGGCACAGTGAAGTAAGCGTGAATGGGTGTGGGTAAGCGGGGCGATGTGTAAGTGAAAGGATGAGGAAATTCGATGTAGGGATGAGGAGAGTATGAGATGGAGGTGAGGGATATTAGTGAGTGTTGTTGAGTGAGAGTGCATATGCGTATCGCTTCGCATACGTGTGGGTGGACGTTACAGTTGTATTGGAGATCATTAAGTGACATCCACACCAAACCTACATCCAACATTTTTACTGCAAACCTACAACCGCCTACATGCATCTAAGTCACACAAATAAATTGTGTGAAAATCATGGAAGTAAAGGCTCTAACTACATCTTTTACAATTGCCTCACCGTTGGAAAAAGCTTACTTTCCTGATGGAAATAAAGGACTGTGCAGTAGGGACGGATTCTCGCTGGTACCCTTAGACTTTACAAACTCTCTTTGTATTATCGTACTTCTATGATTCTCTTATTAAAGTCTACATACTTTCACTGCACTATGGGGTTTTCGACTTACGCTCGTACTTTTTATATTCCAGCCAGTATGGAAGTACATCATATCCTCCTTAGACTAATAGCAGTTGAGGTGGAAATATGATATTTGTTCTTTTAATATTTAAACTTTTTTTGATCATATTCCTTGCTCATTTCTCTTTTTCCTGATTTAGGGGTGTGGGTGTGGGTAGGTGTGGGTGTGGGTGTTGGTGTGGGTGGGTGTGTGGGTGTTGGTGTGGGTGTGGGTGTGGGTGTTGGTGTGGGTGGGTGTGTGGGCGTGGGTGTTGGTGTGGGTGTGGGTGGGTGTGTGGGCGTGGGTGTGGGTGTGGGTGTGGGTGTGGGTGACTGTGGGTGGGTGTGGGCGTGTCGGTGTGAGTGTTTCTCTTCTTCACATTCGTATTCACACCAACTCCCCCCATCTACACCCACACCCACACTCACACTCACCCACCCACACCCACACCCACAACTCAAAGGCTTCATAAGATGTCATAGGACTTGTATAGATTTCGTGAGACTTCATAAAACTTCATTAGATCTCAAGACTGAAGTTTCTATTGTTCTTGCTCGGCTCTAATTGAAATCTCTGCATTAAAAAGTGCACAACAAATAAAGTATTCCAAATTATTCTTTTGCGATTTAAACCACAGTTTTTGATTACTTATGAAAGTTTATTTTTATTGCTAGATTTATTAGAATACTTTTAGCTGATTTTTTGTCACCACGCTATCAAAATATCAGGAATGTACGAATAGTCACTCACCAAACGAACAATCTGTATTTGCTCTCTAACTGGCTTTCTGTTTGACTACAGATCGTGAAAGAGACGAGTTTGTTTTGTGAATACACGAATAGTTTCGTAAATCTTCGATATTACAATTTTTAAAAAAATTGTTAAAAGTCATAATAAAAGTTTTTTCTACGTAATTTGAGTGAAGCAGAAAAACGAGAAAGAAAACAAGAAGATGTTCCGTTTTGTGAGTCACTATTCATATTTGTCTTGTACGTCAGTGTATCTAGATGAAAACAAACTGAAATTAAGATCTATTTTATTTGTCTTTGTTGCAGGACTCAGATTGTTAATATCAATTCAAATTCATCGATTGATGCTCGTCTAGATAATCTCATAATGCAACAAATAAGGCCTAAATCGACAAACAGCGAAGTGGATATAGATGCTTCTTGATGTTGCTAGACAGACGTTATGATTGTATGTTCTTCATCAGAATTTTTATGCAAAAATATTCTTAAAGCCGGTGTGGATTTCATAAGATATTTGTATAACGTTGAAATAGGAAAAAATTGAACGCTTCCATCATCAGCGTCACAGCTGGCGGATAGCTTGTATCGAAAAGATTTGCTTTCTTCCATAGATGCCAAAATCTGATAACTCTCTGTTTCGTAAATATTGACTGCGGTAAGTTTGGATATTCAGTCAGTTTTGTTGTTCCAACAATGGTTAAAAAAGTCCACTCTCTGCTCGCTGTGCATTAAATTTCAGCATTATTTACAATACAACCAGAAAGAACAGATATAGAGGATGAATTTCAGAAGCATGTTGATTTATTAGAGCAACGGTAACAACTCTTGGAAATGACAACAGTGTTGGAAGTCTTTGGAAAAGGCACGATTCAAATTTATATGGGCGATATAACTAAACAAAAGATATTAAGGGGAACGCTTTCATCAATGTTAACAATTCTTTTTGGTTTTACTCTTTCAATCTCATAATAGCGAAAAAACTACACATGTTTTATAATTATTTTTTACAAAATAATTTAGGGCGTGGATGTGGGTGTAGGTGTGAGAACAGAAGTAGATTTGTCTGTGTATTTGAGAGGCTTCTACACTCTAAAAAAACGATTTTTACCGAACCAAAAAAGATTCATTCCGCTGGTATACGGGAAGATCCTTTTTTGGTTTCGTAAAAAAAGTAGTTTTGTACCAAACCTTTTTTGAAAAATGGTAAAAAACGTTTCGTAATAAAGGTTTTGTACAAAATCTTTTTTTCTCAAACAGAAGAAATGGTTCCGCAATCAAGGTTTTGTATAGAACCATTTGAGTGGTTACTGAAAAAGGTTTCGTATATTTGCCTTTTAGCTAAACCTTTACTAACGCCTACCAATACGATACGGAATGACTAAATGTTCTAGTCAAATCAGAAGACGAAATTTTATGCTTTTTTTTAAAAATTTTAATAGAACACTAACGCTTAAAACGTGTAGTATCGCGTTATTTCTCACGAAGAAAAATTGACAAAAAAATTCATTTAGAGATTGAAACCCATCACCAATAGTTCCTACGAGATCAGGATTGTTTTCTCCTCAACTTATTTTCATCATTTTTAGTTGAAGCCAAGATCTTTTTCCATTAGTTTGTTAAGCTTAATTCTGTTTTACTATTGCTTTCAACGGTAGAGGAAGTTTAATCTAGCAATTTGTGCATCAAGCTCACTGTTTTTAGACGCTATATTCGAGAGAGCTAAACATGTTTTATTTCAGAGCGAGACTTTCAGATCCATTAAATAGATCTCTGATTTATTTTAGAAGTTATAACCAAAATAAATGAACCATAATAATCAAAACCAAATCTCAATAATTTTCGATTTTCTCTTATTTTTTTCTCACTGGAAATAACACGATAGCATACGTTTTAAGTATTAATAGCCTGTTAACATTTCAAAAACAGCTACAAATATTTGATCTTATGATTCTAGCAGAACATCCAATGGTGCATCTTTAAAAACAAAGATTAACGTATTATCATCTCCCTGAACAAAACCAATGATTCACATGAATATTTTTATCACAATAATATTAGTTTTTACTCATCTTCCGTTTCTTTCTTTTCTATGCTCCCCTTCTCTCCATTGTATGGTTTATTTGTTATGGTAGAATTTTTCTATCGTTCGTTTACTTGCTCGCTCGCTTGCTTGGTTGTTCACTGACTTGCATGAGTACTTTCATCATTTACACCGCATTAACAACAAGAAAATACTGTTTTCCCTATTCTTCTTATCGAAAACGAGTAGAAAAGAAAGGATTAGATAAAGATAGCTTTTTTTTTCAGTTCTTTTTCCATGTCATTTGTTGTATCGCTTTGGAGAACATCACACATATTAAGAGATTAACAATGCGGCATTATTTTTCGACATTTATAACAATATTAGTACTGTTTATGATCAACGATATTCAAGGAACATACTGGATAAATTATGATGTACCATACTCAAATATCGATATAGTATTCGATGATAATCCTGGTCAGTATTTAGATGCATTTATACGCGATGGAGAACAAGAAATACCTAGTCCATTTATAACTGATTATAAATATATATCTGGTATCTGCCTTGTTTGAATAGTTTGTTCTTATATATTATTCTATTTCTATCTAGGTGGAATAGGTGAAGATCGACAATATTTGGGTCCAAATGGTGAAATTTTAAATCATCCAGAAGTAAAAACAGATGAAAAATTACCATCTTATTGTGATCCACCTAATCCTTGTCCATTAGGTTTTGAAGGTATAATTACAACAAAAAAAACCAAACAAATCGATATAGTTAATATATTTTAGCTAATGATTGTGATGCATCACCAATGGCAATGTTTACACCTGAATACAGTCGATTATATCAGTCTGAACAAAATTGTCAATGTGACAATGATCATGATCAATGTTCAGCTAATATTATTTTAAACTTTTCTAAATTATCAAACAGACCAACACATCGTATTTTAAAACGACCACGACGTATTTGGCAAGTATGTTCATTAATTTTTTAAGAAGAGAATAACTACAAAATCTCTCCATCACTCTTTGAGATTACGCATGTCAAAAAAAGAAACAAAAAATGTGGCTACCAATCATTTATATCGTTATTGTTTCATAAAGGACAAACTTGACGCTTTTATTCTGCTAAAAAGTCTCTAGAGAGCATAATGTTTTGAATTAAATAGAATCAAAACCAAGAAAAAAAAATTTATTTGAATAATATTCAATATCCCCATACAATAATATACGTATATAATTTTTCTTTTAGTCATTTATTCAAGTAATGAAGCCAATACAGCCACACCTCGTTCATAGAAATTATATTCCGAAGTATTCGTTTGACCAGATTTAACATTAATGGTACAGAGTAATTCTGTTCGAAGACCATTACCATAAACTGGAAGAGTTACTTCTTGTTGATCATTCATTTTTTGTGATGATATTTTCCATTCAATTGTCAAAAGAGGAATATCATCCATAATTGAATTTGAATAAAACAATGCATTATTACGACATAAAGCACCTTGTAATTTCAAACCTAAATTTTAGAGCAAAAAAAAAAAAAACAAAAGTTTTGTTTTTTTGAAGTAATATGATAGTTAAAACTTACCAGTAACAAGAAAAAAATTTTCTTTATTCGAATCTACTTGTGATGGTTGATCAAGCATTTTGACATGCATAACAAGTTCTTCCAATGAAACATGTAATGATTGAGCTGCACATTGGCGTGTTGCTGTAAGATAAGCTTCTGGTGTAAATAATCCACCAAGCCACATTTGTACATACTAAAAAAGTTAGTTTTGTTTTTTTGGTTATGATAAAATCAATCGAAACAATTATTTTAGAACATACACGTAATGATTGAACACCTTCAGTTATTGTTAATGTTACTAGTTTTTCAAGTTGTTTCAAACGTGCTACAAAATCCGACATCCATTGCATAGCACTAATACGTGGTGGAACACGATATTTTTTCCATGTTAATGGTGTTATACCTAAATAAATAAGTTGAAATGTCATCAAATTGTTCAAATAAACAAATGTTTCATACCTTTAGATAAATTATTAAGTAAATCACGTGTATCATTGGTTTGTTTTTTACTTCCATCACATACAGATTGTACATCAGCAAGATCTTGACGTACTAAACGTAGAAGATTAGCAGCAAAATTAACTTCACGTTCAACACATCGAAATAATGGATCTTTTATATTTTCTGATGTACGTTTCATTGAAGGTAATATCTACGAAAACAACAAGTTCGATCGATCTTGTTTTTTTAAAACATTTTTTTGAACTACTTTTGGTAAAGATTTAAGCCAAGTATCTGTTGTATGTTGTACATGTATCATCCATGCTGGACGTCCAGTACTAGCATCTTCTTCTTTATGTTCACCAACATCAAAATCTAAAATTAATAAAGTAAAATAATATGTTCATTGAAGATTTTTAATTTCTTACCAATTGTAAGTGTACTTTCATCACCTTGATCACATTTTAAAAGATCAACTGCAAACTTACTACCTGAAGAGAAAAAAATGATAATAAGATTTAAAGAAAATGATTTGAAAATATAAAATTTTTCGATTACCTTGACTAATCAATAGTACTTTCTCAGCATTATCAGGTAAACCAAGCCATGTTGTTTTTTCATTCGATGGCAAGTGTTTAATCCATTCAATATATTTACTTTTTGTTGTATCTTGAGGCATTGATATCAATAATGAAGAAAAATCATCTTTAATTAATGGATATGAAGTATTTAAACTTTCTTGACAAAATAATTTAGTAACAAATGCAGCTAAAAGATGTTGATCAAAACTATATGAAATAAAAATAATTATTTTAGATAATTGTTAAATATGTATTTTCAACTAACCGATTATCAAGTCGTCCACCATAGATACATGATGCAATTAAATATTGAAGAGCATCCCAAGCAATATTCTAATCAAGAATAATTTTTTTTTATTAGAAAGATAATATTATTTAACTTACATCTTGTCCTTCATTATTAATCCATTGATCAATACAATCACAAGCAAAACGAAGATCACTCTCATTAATTTCATAATGTTTTGACCAACCTAATGGTGTATAACGTAAACGTTCTGTAACAAGTGCATGAAGCCATGCAAGTCGAAAATAAGCTTTTGCTCGTATATGTGGTATTCGCTCCATACGATTTTCAGAAAATTCATTTAATGTTCGCATCAAACTGGCACGAACGCCAGTAGCTGGTTCAAATACTAAACATAAACCCATACGTAATAAACTTGTTGGAAGCTAAAATAAATCGATTAGATTGTAAATAAAAAAGTATCAGTGAAAAATAAAGTACTTTTGGATGAATTTCTGTTGATAAAAACAAACGAAATGACTCGTGAGGTTTCAATGAATGTAATTTTTTTTCTAATTCTTTAAGCCATTGAGGTGCTAAATGAACATTTTTTAAAAGAATCCAATTGCCTTGTTTAGTGGCTGTATTAATAGCTTGTTCAGCAAGTGAAAAACCTTCAGCAGATCCTAAATAAATAATTAGAAGAATTTATTAAAAAATCAAACAAACAAATATTCTTTATCATACCAATAGCAATAGAAGTTAAATTTTTATTTAGATTTGTTGCTAATTCTTCAACACGATTTGATGCATCATGACCAGGTACAGAACAAAGTAGAATAGGTGTTAGACCTTGAATCTATTCAATAAATATAATATATTGAAAATATAAATTAATAATCAATGAAAAGAAACCGATATATCGTACTTCTTCATTGATAATTTGTTCTAAAGTCAAAAGTGCATCTGCTTTCTGAATAAATTCAGATCCGAAAACACTTTCAACAAAAGATTTTGCTGCAATTATTAAACGATCAGGTCGAACAGCACGAGTTAATAACATTCTAAACAATAAAATTTAAATATTGATATTTATGTAAAACAAAAAAACAAATTGTTCGTTCTCCAAAACTTACGCATAAACAGCAGTAGCTATGTTATTCATTTCATTATTATTGTTTTCCCAAACAACAGGAACTTGTGTTGTTATATCATTACTATTTAACCATAAATCAAATGCATCAGAATTTGTTGTAATATGTCGTTCGAGATTTTTAAACGATGGAATATTTGTTGTCAAATGTGATAATGCACGTTTCTATTTGAAAATATAAATGAAATAAAAGTTTAGTTGAGAGAATATATATATTGATTTTACTTGTAGATCAGATAATTTATTTTGAATATGAATCATTTCAGAATTTTCTTCTAATGCTTGAGCCATTTCAAAAAATTCATTTTCAAATGTCATATGATTACTATAAGAAAGTATTAATTAATTTTTAAAAATAAATATAATAATATACCCAATAATATTTTTTAAATATATTCTTGTTAATTGTACAGCTAATGTTATTCGATCACGATGTAACATTCCACGTGAAACACGAATAAATATTGTTTCAAATAAACTTTTTAATATTATATCTAATCTTTGTACTGGATCAATTATAGATTCAAGACGTTTATTATGATAAAGTATATGTTCAAATATTTCCATAAAAAATCTTAATGAATATTGATAAAGAAAATGAATCTATTGAAATAGAAAAAAGACAACGACAATTATTTATTTATTATTCAAATTTTTATGCTTTTATTTTCTTACTGTTGATAATGATGATAATGTAAAGAAAATACTACTACATGCTTTACCCATTGGTAAATATTCTTGTGATACTTTTTCTACTTCATTTAAGATAACATCAGTTTCTTCAACTTTTTTCATTATTTCTGATGCTTCAGTTTTAATTTTTTCCAATGTTGAAATTACTCTAATAGATAAAACAAAGAAATTGTTTGATATTTTTTCCATTTAAAAAAAAAAATAAATAAAAGTCAATAGAAATTATTTACTTATCATTATCAAGTATAGTTCCTTCAGATTCATTTAATACTTTAAGTAAATTATCTTCTAAATGACGTAATTTTGCTACAAATTCTCCTTGTAATTTCATTAGATCAGATCGTTTTGCATCAATATCTGGACGTTCAGATCGTAAGATTTTATATAAACATTGAGATTGTAAACTTGATCGAGTTACTGTAAAATTCACAAATGTTACACGTGAACATATATCAGGTCCAAATTCCGCCTTTGATTATCAAAGAAAACAAACAAATAAAAAATGAAGATTCTTATTTTTGAAAACGTACATCAGAATCACGTGTAAATAGAAACATTCGAAATGTTGGTGAAAAATCAATATCTTTATCACCAATTGTTATAAGAACACGTCCAGACGTTCGTCGAAGATCACGATTAAGAACAGGATTAATTAATGGATCAAAATTTTCAGCATCATGTATAAATAATGTTGTACCAAAACGAAGTGCACTTTCTAATTGTTTACGAAAATTTCCATCCATAAAACTATGATAATCAAATATAAATAGAATAATTTATAAACGAATATAGAAATTATAGTATACAAATGTAAATAAGTCTAAATTTGATGTAGATTTGGCTTATTTCTCATCGTCTCTATTACTAATGTGATCAAGATACATGAATGAAAATAGAAATGAACAATCTAGTCACAATCTACTATTAATCATTAGAGATGTGATAACATTAGATGGTAACTGAACTTTTTTTTTTCGTTACTTTTCGTCTAATATTTATTGTACAATAATATATCTTAAGAAAAGTACTTCGTTTCTGAACACTTACATAAGAACAACAATAACATAAAGTTGAAAATACCATAAAAGAATATATCATTAGGCAAGATGTAATCGAACATATACATGTACTTATAGAATGTTCATTTCTGTCTTAACTTCTTTTATAGTTATAGTTGTGTAAATGTAAATATTATGCTCGTCACAATGAATTTCACTAGATTTTAAGTTAGATCGATTTGTCATCAGAATAGTTCTTAATTAATATTAATTACGGCTTAATTTATAAATTTAACAAATCAGTATAAAAATTAGTGTTTCAGAAAG